AAAGAGGGTGTGCAGAACCAAGGGGACCTGGGCTGCATCCTTGAGGAGACCAATTATCACTTTATTCAGATAGACCTCAAATAAGCAAGATTGTGCTTAAATCCCAAAGCCAGAAGACTTCAGGTACCTGCCAAGAGGTAAGCAAGTGCCCAAGTACCCCCCTAGCCAGAGAGAACAGACACACCTGAAGCCCTGGCCAGGCTGCTGCGGGTGCATCGGTCAGCTTTGCCGTGCCAGGCAGGCTGGAGATGGACCCGCGCACACAGGGAGCGGCTGCTGCTCAGAAATGCAGGATGTGCTCTGGGCACGGGGCTGCGTAAAGCCCTGCCCTGAGCACTCGAGACTTTGGGTGCTTTGATGGGCCTCTCTGTCCTTTGACTGTTGTGACCAAGCTCCAGGCTTGTCAAAGCCCTTCCCCTCCTCCTGGATTCTGCTGTTAATTTCTAGTGACTTTTGGAGATGACCAGAATTATTAGGACACGGTTCAGAGGTGCTCTCACCAACGCCAGCTTGCAGGATCCCTAGCAGCATCACAGAGCCGGGTTCTCTGGGGCAGCTGGGGCGGTAGCTTGGGATATACTTCTGATTCTTAAGGGAACTGGAAGGGAGTCCTGAGCACAGGAGGAAGAGGTAAGTGGGCTCACATCATCCTTGGAAGGTTTGCCAGTATGAAGGACCTTTCTCATGCAATGAGGGCACAACGAAGCGGCTGAGTTGCTGCTGACAGAATGGCAATGACCCCTTCAAAGGACCTGGTAACATTCATCTGACTTGTGCAGGGTGGGTCTGAAAAACCCACTCCGCAGCCATCGTGAGACTCATGTGAGTCACACCTCAGGCACGGTCAGCAGCAACTGAGCCAGGTCATCTGCATGTTTTTGATGACAGAGTTAAAGGAAGAAAAGGAGATCAAACTGCCTCGGATGGCATTTCAGTCTCAGTGATTGCAACCACCACACTTCACTTACAGCAACATCATTGTCTTCCGTGTCGTGACTGTGAAACATCTTTACTGCCAGCCCCTAACTGCTTCCAATACAGGTTTAATCCACAGTGGTAAACAGGGGGCAGAGAGCAGCCGTGCACGGCAGGAATCGTCCCCTCAACAGTCGACTGCAATGGAAATGTGAGAGCCCAGCAGCAGGAGAAGGGCCACGCTGCTCAGGAGCCATTGTGGAATGACAGGAAACCCCTGTGTGCCACCGACCTGGTAACTGCACGATAAAGATCCCTGAGGAAGCTAGTACCTAGCATGTTCATTCCGATCTCACAATCATCTTTTCTAAACATTATTGAGCAAACACTGAAACCTAATCAATCATCTTTTACTTAATTGCATCTTGTCACCACTTTAGCTTAACACGTGCTCCTTGCTTAGCCAAAACAACATGATTGAAACACCGTGCAGAGCTCACTTGATGCATTTATATTAGAAAGGGGTTAATTTCCTAGGGAAAATGATCACTGTAAGGTGCATGTAATAAACTGCTGTCATGACCTCTACCCTTCAAGCTCCCATACGTGCAATCATTGTTTGTGGTTTCCGTGGAAGTGCCAGATGCTAAGAATTTTTGGCAAGAGTTTATCAATTTGACTCAGTGTAAGATATTACTCCGATATGGCCCATTAAACATTTTACTTTCACCTGACTGGTGACATTTCCCTTGACAATAGAAGAGTAAAGCAGAAATCAAAAAGGTCAGAGGTTGCTATATAATCTTTTACTGCAGGTCCCAGGTTAAAACCACAATGATCACACTCCAGTAGGATAATTCATTCCACAAAAAAAAAAAAGTGACATTTATTTTGCTTTAATGAACTTTGGCCTTTGCCAGATATAACGGGTCCGCTGGAAATCATTGGCTATGCATTCCTTCCCTTGACCAGCAGCAACCCACAGTGGCACGGAAACGTTACGCGTGCCAGAGGGCTTGACTGTGTCGTGCACGTGGCACCAGAGATGGCAGGATATGGGGGAACAAACAGCTAAGGCATCATCATACAACACACCAAGGGAAGAGGAAATGGTATGTACAAGCAATGAAAAGAAAAAGCAAAAAGAGTGGCAAACAGTCATCCAAAAAAATCAGCAAAAGTTTATGATTACTTCAGCTATAAAACGGGTATCTGATTCTTTTCTTGGAAATGGATTGTTTTTTCAACATCCAGACCAGAAGCAGAGGTAGAGTTGGGACAAGGCAGTTCTCCAAACTGTAGGTCACATTATAGTTCTCATATAAGTCCCTGTAAACACTAAAAAATGCCATTTTGATCCTACCAGTAATGAGGGATGAAGCAAGGTTGTACCTATGCGTGGAGTCTATAAACCCAGTATGTTTCAGATGGTGAAGATGCTTTCCTATGACTCTAAAGTAGCACAGCAGAAGGGTGGGGAGAAAAACTTGATGAATCCATTGAGATCGGTGGTGACAAATGCTTATCATGTGCCATATGAAATCTGCTTGCCTTCTGCCCTGCAAGCAGTGAGGATCACCTGAGTTCTTTACAGATGTTTGCTATCATGCAGAGAGAAAGGAAATGGTTATTTGTTTTGATACACAAGGAAAGAGAAAAGTAATTGAAGGGGACGGGTGAAGAAAGAAAATTCTTCCAATTTCAAAATATACCCAGGGGCTCACAACCTCCAACTGAAAACCCACACCCCTGTCAGAAAGTGAGAGAATGGTCACTAGCAAAAGCACACGGGTGCGATGGACCCATCTCCCTGGGCACGACAGCCTGTGGTTTGGGTGCCGCCGCGGAGGGAGGAGATGGGAACCTGCGAGGAGAGGAGCGTCACCCCGGCGATCTCGCAGACACATGAAGGCCTGTGTGTGTGGGTCTGCCACCGTGCAGCAGCAGAAGGGTTTGCCTTGGGTCTGCTCTTTGCTCACACATCATCTTCTCCCCCAGTGCCTTCCTCGCCTCCACAGAGGGGAAAATGCATGCACTTGCCATGCAGATGAAACGTGGCTTCCTCAAGAGACCCCTAACATACTTGGTCCACATTTCCACTCTGGGGGGGAATGGGATCTTATTTTTTCCCTTGGACCCATCGCCTGATCCTTGCCATCCACCCCTCCGGGACACAAGGAGAACCTTTCTCTGTCAGCAAAGGGGTGGGCAGCGTCCATGGGGCTCCCCGGCAGGACCCCACTCTGCCAAGGCCGTGGTGTCCCTGGTGCTTCAGGGGGCTGCTCTCTCCCCGGGTGCTGAGGCTGTGGGGCCCCGCTCTGGCCTCGCCAAACCCTGTGTGATAGTTACCTGTATCCCAGCAAAACCAGGACACCACGACAGGATTCCCAGAGGGTCCTGCGCTCCCGCAGAAGGTGCTGAGCCCCACACAGCTCTGTAGCGCTGGCCTGGGACCAGTCCTCAGCCTGGAGGAGCTGGATTAACCAACGCTTTGGACTTGTTTTCAAGCTACTATGGTCAATATATTAAAGGTATTTATTTAAGAAAGTGCCTATCCTGCCAATCTTTCCCCATGAGCTCTATTTTGAACACACCCTATAATTACCGATATTACCCTGGCAAATTTTCCCCATGAAGCTTTCTCCACTAAAAGCCATGACCATACTTGTCTGCCTCTCCACATTATAATTATCACCAGGCAATATTTATAACTATACTATTATTATTTACGATTATTTTATGCCCTACGAAAACCTATATGACATATGCTCAAACTTCAGAATCTGAGACATTCAGACTTCAGCTGGAACATCCCCTTCGGTTTCTGTACTTCTCACATTTGCACTAATAGGTTACTTGGAGTATTTTTTGGTAAATACAGGAGTCCTGTCAGTGTGAAAAACCCGCAGGACTTGGGTTAGACGCCAGCTCAACATATCTAAACCTCCCATTGTGATCTCTTTCATACTTTTTTTCCCCAATGTGTCAAGCACACATTTCAGTACTTCTGATGGTTCAGGCTAGAACTGTATAGCATAGATTCTTGCTGAGGCGAGACAATTAACTAAAGTGCTTAATTATTCTAGATGGACAATGGAGCAGAGCACATTTATGCCTCATGCAAAACATAAATAAACAGAACAGAATGAACAACACGTTTGCCAATCATGGTCTAGACTTGAAATTTGGCACTGCAATACTTACAAACAAATGTAAATGTTTTATTCCCACACTTCAAAAAAAATTAAATAAAACTCTGTCTTGTAAGCACCTTTAGTTTTAATTATTTAAGATCAATACTAACCTAAATGCCTCTGTCCCTAACATGCACCTCCTCTCCAGGGTCACAGACCTTTCTTATTATGAAATCACTGGCTTTCTCCACAAATATTACTGTTAACCAGTTTCCTCAGTATCATATGCATAAGGGCTATAAACTAATGAGCAGATCTAGGTTATGTAGAAAAAGTGTAGAAAGGAAACAAATGTTGAACGTCACATTTACATTAACTTCTCACAGTTCAAATGGCAATTTATCCACAACATAGTATGAATCATGCAGTAAGAAAAGGGAGGAATCTCCAGTTTCTTTGATTTATTTGTCATATGGTCGACTGATGTCAGTATCAGTGGCTTTAAAAAAAAAAAAAAAAAAAAGTTTAAACATCCAAAAGAAAGGACGAGAGAAAGGACGAAAAGGTCTAGCTTTCCGCAAAATCCATTTCCTTTACAACGATGGGCTCAAACCAAACCAAAGGCTGCTGGAGAGCAGGGTCTTCTGTTCCTTCCATGCTTGTCTCGTGGTCTGGTGCAAGCTGGGAATCAAGGGTATGGGACTGGTGGATGCGTTTTGTTTATATATTTATATATATATATATATATGTATGTATGTAGGTAGGTATTAATATATATATACATACATACACATATATGCACACAGATACAGTCTTCCTAAAAATGCTCTTTGCAGTCCAGAGGCAGCAGGAGTCACTGTGAAGGAAGAGCTGGGCAACATATGGCTGTAGAGTCTGCACTGGAAAAAGTCACTGGCTAAATATTTGCCGGCTGTTTGTTTTCTTTTATTTTCATGAGGCGAAATAGGAGCTCTGCATAGAGTACAGCCTGTCAATGGGGTTTCCTACTCTAGCCTGCATGGAGTTAACTTCGGAAGAGGCAAGAAAACAGTCGCTCAAGCTAGTTAAAGAGGTATCACTGTCGATATCATGAAAAATGGAGTCGTTTCCTGCAAACGAAACGTACATGTTAAGCTGGATTCTGTGCAGCCAGAGGAGGACACAGTACAGACGGATGCTCGGACGTTACACACTGCAGCACAAGGCAACGCTCCTGGTTTTGTTTTTACACGTTTAACGGAATTTCGCTCTAAGGGGCTGAGCTACAAAGAGGAAGGCAACAACCAGCTCCCAGCGTTCAGCTGGCAGCAGTGCCACTCAGATCTGCCAGGATTTAATTTACACTTCAGTCAGCAGCACAAAAGAGAGTCTTGGCTGACAACCTGAGCAAACAGTGCTGGGGAGGAGCAGGTCCCCGGCTCTCCCGGAGCTGGGATCTGGCATTCACGGGGGCACTGGGGCCACTGAGGAAGGTGGGACCAGACACCAAGTGCTGGTGACAGGGAAAAGTGGACTGAGAGCTGTAACCGGTAACGGTCTGCATTTACACACAGGCTAAAAAACAGATCTACGAATGCGACAGGACCCAGGAGGAGACCCAAGCAGCTTCCCTGGCCTCAAGTCAGCTACAGTTGTACACATGCTTTCATTTCAGAAAATGCCACTCTTTTGGGGCTGGTTTGGAACAGCACCTTTTATTTCCCCTAGCAACTAAGATTTCAGCTTACTTCAACACTTAAGGTACCAGAAAGAGCTCTAGAGCTCAAGTCCTGTGAGCACTAAAAAGCATTAGTCCAGCTCTTTTTCCTCATGTGCTTATTTGAAATGGCTCTGTGCTCTCTCCTACACTGGTTTTGGAGCACAGAACCTGCCTCTCAAGGAGTTTTGCTTAGAAAGCCAAGCAAGTTGTTAGCAACAAAATCACAAGCCATCTAATGCTCACTTGCACTTCAGATGTCCTCAGCTCCTTACAGGATCTACCAAACTGCCTGGTGTGTACTGTGGAATTCTCTCAGTGGGAAAAGCAGTAACACAGACCCAAAGCAGGTTTCTGGTTGGCCTGTGCATGTCGTGCTCATGAAAGCCATATACACGAGGACCTCTGCAATGAAGGGCTCCTGGTCAGCAGAAAGGACTCTGATGGGACAGGCCCTTGTGGGCTCCAGCGAGGACAATAATCGCAGTCTGAGAAATCCTCTTGTTTTTATTTAAATGCTGCACTGCCATTGTCCAGAGTCAATTATTAGGCACTTAGTGCTTGTGATGTGTTTGGTGTACCTATCCTACTTGATAGTGTGTGGTCAGGAAATTGTGAAAACAAACCATCATAGTTGATTTTGGGCAGAGAATAAAATTACACAGGAGAAATGTCCTGTGGTGGCACATCTCTCAGTAGCTCAAGAACAGTTCTTTAACAAATCCATGCATCCAATCTGAGAGATCTTAAGAGGGCTGCTTATTCATTTTGGAATTAATAGATTACTGCTCTTTATTAGACCACTTTTCAAGGCACTTTTTTCCCAAAGCTTCTAAGAAAAAGGAAATAAAACCTGTGAGGGAGCTAGAATTTAGTACTGTTTATTTTTCAATGTCTTGGAGAGTGGTTTAAAAAAGTGGAGCTTATCAGAATTATACTGCAAAATAGTTTTGAAGGGTGTCCAGAGCCTCAGATGAGCTCTCTTCTATCCACTTACATGTACATGAAAATATATACACAAAACAGACTGGTACAAATTCCCTGGTACAAATCCCAGAAAAAAATATTATAAAAGCAAGTAACTCTACTGAACTCGTGGTGTGTGAACCAGCACAAGAACCCTGCTACTTCTGATGCGGCAGAATGATGCATGCCTTACCATAAGGGTTCATGTGGTCGCCTGGCATTTGTGGAGGGGTAAGACCCTGCTGAAACGGGTCTGTGCCATAACTGTTTTGATCCATTGCTACAATCTGCTGCTGTGGTGGTGCAAGTGGTGTGTAAGACGTCATCATCCCTTCCATTCGGTTGGACATTACTTCTGCAAAGCAAACAGGAGGGCACAGTCACTGCTTGGCAACAAAGAGGCCGTAGACAGTAGCATCAGTGGCGATGCCGAACCCAAGCGCAGAGCGATCGCTGCTACGTGTGTCCCGGCATTCAGAGGAGCCTTCCAAATTTTGCCTGAAAGTGTAACCCTGAGCAGAAAGTTGAAAGACTTGTAATTTCTGACTGTATCATTTCTGGAGCTCCCGGGTGCTGGACTATATCTTCCCAAAGTCTGTCCTGTATGTGACACAGCCCTTTTATTCTCTCACTTCTGTTAGTACCAGCTTTTCTGGCTCTGTGTAAATAGGAGGATTTGAGGCTCCAAGGCCTCCGGAGCTGGAGAACCTCAAGACCATCCAGGGAGCAGCAGGGCAAGCCCTGGTGCCCCTGTGCTGCTCCTGCCTCAGGGTCCAGCCAGCTGCTGGGGTACAGGAGGGGCTCTCTGTGCCTCGGTTGCGGCAGCGATGCTGACACCCTTGCAAGCAGCCTGCAGATGCCCAGCTGAGCATGGTCTCCCTTTCTTCAGAAGAAAACAAACTAGAAGATCTGCCTGGAGTGAGCCACCAGTGAAAGTGCCTCTATACAGCACATTTCTTCTAGAAAGGAGGTAAGAGCTTCTGTGTGAGCACCTCTAGGGTCTGGCCCCATGGAAAAACTGTGGGAGAACCCGAGGTGGGCACTCGGACATAGCAGCTCTGTGTGCTTCCACTGACAATGGCACACATTACCCCCAGACTTGTGCGTGCCCTGTATGGCTGTACTGAGACATTACGTGGGAAGGGCACTTCAAGAAGCCTTGCAGATTCTCTTCCCCTTGCTTTGCCCTCATCCCAAATTCCCTACCTTGCCCTAGTCGCTGCGAGTTCTGCTGCTCCTGCTGCTGCTGATGCCTCCGCGCTAGTTTTTTCATCTGAATAAAAGAGGGAGAACAGAACAATCTCATGGCTCTGAACACAACAATTTTGTTTCCTTACAAAACTCTCTGCAAGCATCAAATCAATTAATACAGACCATTTCTATTCATGCACACACCACGGTGGGTTCAGTTGCATTTCTAAGCTTAAACATTTCAGTTTCCAGTTCATATCTGCATGCAAAATAAACTCCCAACCTCGTGTTGCTTTGAGCACACAAACTTAATGTCTGTGTTTGAAAGTTGCCTTTCTTGTAGGCATGTAGACAGCAGTGCATGCAAAATGGGTGCAGTTCAGTCCCTGGGATCTCTGTGGTACGTACGAACTACATCCAGGGGGAGGGGGAAATCTGTGTTGAAGAACAATTTGCATTTTACGTAAGAGAACTTGACGAACAACCTACCTTTGCTCTTTGGTTTTGAAACCAGACCTGGACAACTCGCACACTGAGCCCTGTTTCAGCTGCTAGTGTTTCTCTGACCTACAGGAGGAAACGTTTAATGATGTAATTTAAAATAGTTTTTTAAAAAGCTAATCAGTTATGTTAGGAGGAATATGCCTGTACTTACAATAAAAACTGGATGTACATAATTACTTTTAAAAATTCCACATATTTTTGCACAGTTTGTTCAAGTTCTGCCCTTCACGTTGCTACCATTTTTGTACCTACTGAACAAATAGTCCCAGCTGTGCAAAATGGCACTAAGACATTTCATTATGTTTATTTTACCTGTAAAACTGTTCTGTGCAAAAAGATACAAATTTGGCTGTGAACACTTTTTATATTGTTGAGGTACAATTTCAGACTTTAAAATGGCAAAAAGGCACATTGCACTGTCCCAAATGACATACTCTGTACCTCAGCAGGAGAATGCCACTTTTCACAACAATTACAGATTTGATTTTCACCAGCTTCACCACTGAAGGAACATGTTATACCTGTCCCTAGCTGCCAGAAAGATCAACCGCAGGGTTAAGTTTCATAAAAAATCAAAACTGGACAGACAAGTAGTGGGACCAAAGCTGAGCACCTGCCTCATTAGACAGCGACTCCCTCTGTGGTGGGAAGGAGAAGGGCAAAAGGAACTTGTTTACCTGGGCTCTCACAGTCAAGGACTACTTCATGGTTTATGAGACCCCAACACTGTTGTTCAGCAG